CCTTGACCAGGAATCCGACTCCCCCCTCCCCCCTTTTCTTCGGGTCTAAGCCCTTTCTTGCCTTCCCTACCCACCGGTATTTCCCTAGTTTGCTTACCACGTCCCCATCCTTCAATTCCCACGTCTCTTGGATCCCCACTACATCTAGATCGCTTTGTTCTACTTGGTCCACTATTTCCAACCGCTTGCGCTCACTCCTTGCGAACCCGCAGGGGGGGGGGGGGTTGAGCAATACACGCCAGGGCCTGGGAGAACCCAACGACCAACGACACGTGAGTTTGTAATATTGTTTATTGTGTTAATACTTTTCAGGTACGCAACAGCACCCTACCGGTAGTATCGGCCATCTCGTCAAGTATTGGACCCCACAAGAGTACGCTCGGGGGCAAGCTGACGACAACAGAGAAGCGACGGCAGAACCTCTCCTTGAAACCTCGCGCTGCGTAAGGACGCCTATGGCGGCTGGCATGACGCACGGCCTGTCTCAAGAAGGTAGATTTCCCTTCGGCCTTGTTCCAGTGTACTGCAGAAAAAAGTTGCGCACCTTTGAGGTGGGCTTCGATCTCGGACGCCGACTGGGTGGACGAGGCTTCCACGAGGTCCGCTGCCTTGCGAGCGCTGCCGCCGTCGTGTTGCGGCATGGTACAATACGAGACGCACGGAAAAAATCCAAGTGTTGAAGCCAAACCACCACAAACACACGTCCCTAGGTTCTGGGATTCGCGGTTTCCTTGGCCCCATTGATTTGCCCTACTTCTGCGCAAGTTGTTTCCAGGCATACAGTCAGTTGGGGGGGGTTGAGTACAAGTACACTATACTTCGAAGTAGTAATGAGCCCTTTCACCGTCTGTAGGCAACAGACGACAGGATGCGCATCGCGGTGCGGTACGTCGGCGGAGCAGTATCAAGACTCGCTTCCCTCCAGGCACAACCGGTGCTCGATATCCCGGGGGGCATGTGAATCTAAGTTCAACTGCTGCTTCTGTAGACGTTATGCCAGCAACAATTAGAATACGTGCCACATACAAGGAGCAAATTTCAAATGTTGGTCCCTTGACGTTCGCTGGGTTGTATCGAGTCAAACCAACACGTCAGCTGTGTCAGCTGTTGAGTTTGGGAAACGTCACAACTGGCGGGTGGTAGCCACCTGTGGGCTGGTCTTGCTACCTGTTTTTATTTTCATCTTACACCACGCCTGGATGACACTGCTGTGCTCTGATAAGCCCACGGAGAGGCTGATACAGAGTGGACTACACCTTGTGCCAAACACTTCATTCAGTCTTGCAGACGAATAAGTTATATGCTGCGATCAATTGGTAATTTCACCCACAGGGAACATCTCTGTCAGCACGCTGTGGTTTTCACAAGTGAGGCCGAGCCTCGTGCAGGTGGCTTGTCGTAAAGCCGTCCTGCTGTTACTTGTCATCCCTTGTCCCTTCGCTTGTGGTCGTGGCCATGGGCGAAATTCAACAGTAAAAGTTTGCAGTTTGCCCTGTGTCACCGACTCGAGACGTGACTATCAATTGGCGTCAAACCATTCGACAGAGCTCAGCAGATAAGTGTCGTACGCCCAACAGCAGTAGCATATGCGCCAACCAATCTACCAACGCCGCTGATCTACTGCGTTCGAGCACAGCAGCAGCAGCACCTCGCAGGCAGGTCACACATGAAACACCCATCGGCAGACAATCTCCATGATCTCCCATTTGTGTCACATGCTGCATTGCTGCACCAACACGGCAGCCCGCTTGCCGGACAACGCTACAACTGCGTGTGACACATCAGAGACACACAATCAACGTGAACCAAAGCATGTCCTTTACCTTGTTCGAGCTGTAAGAGCGGGTGGAGACGAAGCGGAGACCACCGTTGCCGAAGCCGCTCCAGCTGCTGCTGCTGCTGCTGTAGTTGTTACGGTTGCTGTCGAGGGAGTCCAGACATTGGCTCGATGAGGCCCACGACCAGGCCATTGTTTGGAGCTACCCCTCCCTCTTGCTCCTCCACGGCTTACATGCCACGGCTGCGCCATGTTTTTGGCGATGCTTGTGGTACACGAGACTACTCCTCCTCCTCTATCTCCCGTGGTGTGGAGCGGTCCAACAGTCGAGCAATCCAACAGCAATCCGAGCAATCCTTCCGGGAGGCACCGCGGAATAAACTGGTGGGGTGGCCCCGCGGATTATCGCCTCGCTTGTGTGTGTTGCCTTCAAGCACCGCTCGCTCAGCAGCTACGGCCAACCCCTCGTTGACAAACCTTCCCTCGCGTGCAGCGGGACCACTGTCAGAGCAAACGACGACATGGGGCGGCCATTGACAGCGTTGGTCGCGGCCTGCGCCATGGTAAGTCTCATGGCGTGCTCTCGTGTGTGCATCTGCTGCGCATCTGCGGCCTCGGCAGCTGCTGTAGGGCGTTCATGCCAACACCCAACTGGGTCTGACGAGGTTGATCACCCCTCGTTTCTTTGCTCTCCTGCACCGACGTCTTTGGGGCTTTGTTGCTCGGGTAGGCTAAGGGTAGGGTATTGTGAACCCTTCGCCGCCTGCTTTTGATCACCTCTCGACTCGTTCCTCTGTGCTCTGCGTTCCTGCTGCTGAGGTGAGCAGGCCAACGCAGGAACGGTGTCAGCTTTTGCCCCACCTGGCCTCGCGGTATCAGGTGAGACCCGCGGCTGTATCGCACATGTGCTTACGAGCCCAAGTCATTCCATTATAGCAATGCTTAGCCTCTATTCCGTGTAGCGAAATTGTGAACGGCTAGCTGACCCTGGTTCATGTGCCATGCTCGTTGTATCATACCCCACTGATGTAATACAAAAGGGCATTCTCCTTCCAAGTACAAGTGCAAGTCATGCTTGCCGTCCGCGCGTTCAACCACGCTCCTGCGTTGCTTCTCCTCTCCTCCCTTTACACAACAGCTCGCTCCCGGTTTGTTCCTGCTAACTCGTGGACGTCGAGATCAAGCGCACCAGCAGCGCGTCCTTCGGCGTCAGGTGTGGCGATCTATTGGCATTGATTCCCTTGTTTCTCCGCCGTTACATATCGTCGTTGTACGGCCTCGATGCTACTCTTCACAGGAAAAATATACAACACAGAGACTACCATTCGAGATGTAACCACGGCAGTCGAACGGGACGTGTTGTTGGAGTCGTTTCTTCTTTAAGGCGGCACCGACGTTACCTTGTCGAATGAGTACGCATAAGAGGGTACGTCCATCTAAATGCACTGCGGTTGGCGAGCATATATACGTGCATCACGGGCTAAATTTGCGTAGGACTGCTTATGTCGGGCGTGTCCTCTGTAGAGCCTTCCCTGTAGAGTATAGCGGGGGTGGGAGGGGTGGGAGGGGCGGATGCTCTGCACACGTCTAGTTATTCGAGGACCCGAGGCCTTTGCCTCTTAAGATTTTGTCTCTTGTGAGGTATCCTATACAGCCGTAGCCGTAACCATGAACTGCAGGGTGTTCGATGAACCAAAGCCACAACAGCAGTGCTATGGTGATGGCTCTCGGGAAGCCTGTTCAAAGTTCAAAACCGCGTACTGTGTAAGGGTCCGTGCTGCACACCTACACACCAGGACGCCGTTTAGTAGATGGTATTTGGCGTTTGTGGCCTACCCACGCCAACCTCATGTGGGTACATATCCGTAACTCAACCGTGCCGATGAACCCGAGGCTGACCTTGACAGTCTCGTGGTCTCGTTTTTCTCTCGGGCATGAAACAACGTTGTTGATCGACAGCACAGCAGTAGTCAGATGCCAAAGGTCGCACGTACGCTAGTTGTGTTGCAGAGTGCTATATGTCCCATCTCCCGATAAGGGTGTCGACAGCGCACTGTAAGAAGGCGGTGTCCCTGGGCCACCGCTCGGGTCATGCTCCATGTACATCGGCTTGCTCGTCTACCGAGCACCTGTGTTTGACGCGAGTTCCTCGTGAGAAGCCGGCTTAACGAAGTGTGTGCAGCTGCAAAGGTCGCCCTCCTGCTGTTGGAGAGATGAGAGTGATGCGCCCCCGTCGAGCACCCCGCTCTGGTGCTGCGCGTCGTGCCGCGCTCGTTTTGGTCGTTCTCTAATCGGTTTCCGTCCACGCTTCTCCGCTGTGCGTCGTTACGGCGCGTTGTCGAGGGCAGGGGCACGAGGGCTGCAGGCAATGGTGGAGCCGGGGATGATGCACGGGGTGGACCCGGCATGGTTGCACCAAGTCCTGACAGGTGTGTTGTGTGTTGTATTATTAGCATCGACCGCGCTAACCGGCTGACCAATGAAAAGACGTCAGTCTCGGCGCTTGAAACCACAAAAAACACTTGTAAAGGCCATTAGCTGGGACCCCGTGAGGCGGCAGCATGGGGGAGGCTAAGCTTTTCTCCGGATGAAAGGCAGAAACGGTAGCTTCAGAAGAATAATGCACGCGTCTACCAAGGCTGCTACCGTGCACTCGAGTTCGTTTTGGAGCGCTGTCACCGTAATCCTCCTTGCTTTCACTATCATTCCCATCATCATTTTTCAGCAATTTTCGGCTGTTCTTCTCTGACCCTGCGTCGTTTGTTGTGAAGGTCATCTGGCTCGAAGCTCTTGCTCTCCTCCACGCCATGATTCCATCCTCGATTGCTGTCTTGGTCTTTGTCTTGTCCTCCTGTTCCCTCTCCTGCTACTTCATGGCTCCGAAATGAATCCCCTGCTCTGCCATCATCGTTTTTTTCTTTACTACTACTGAGATCCCAACCTATTGGCCGTGGTGGAAATTGATCAATCAGTAGTCCATGTTGTTTGACTACACCACTTCTTCGTACTGACAGAAAACGAGCCGGCTCAAGCTCGTTTTCTGCCGGTACGAACTCGTGATGTTTTCAAATGTCATGGACTACTGATCGACCAGTTTCCACCACGGCCAAAAAGTTGGGATCTCAGGTAGTAGTTCAGATATAGATGATGCGCGTATGTGCGGCGACATTTCACAGTGTGGATGTGTAGATATTGGATCGCTCCAAGAGTGTTGTATTTCATGATCCTTGGTGGAAGCCCCGGAAATGTATAACTACTCCGCTTTGATTTGAGCGTTGAAATATTATCGCCCTCCCCACAAGGCGGAGATTAGTAGTCGTGCGGTTGGCGAACAGGCGTGGAAGGAAGGAACCAGAGAAGGGGATGCTGTATCCCTATTGGCTAAGCATTGCTTGTGGGAGATAGATGTCGATTGACCTGTCTGCAGGTTGGTCTGTTGTGGTCTGTTGAGCGCATCATGGTCGCCACCATTTTTAGCTTGCGCCCACAATGTCGTGGTCTCCGCGTCTTTTAGCCAGCACGCCCACAGCAGTCTTCCAGGCGCTAGAAATCATCAAGGAGAAGCAACCCGCTTGTTTGCCTTCGGTGAAACCTCCTGTGAGGGCCCTATACTTGTACTCTTTGCACATCCAACGCGAACCAACCGCAACCTGTTGTGCCGTTGCTTGCGTTTTGTTTTTTTTTCGTGTGTGTGCTTTTTTTTTCGCGCGCATGACGTGTCAGGAATCGCGGACGGCGATGTGGCGGCGGCGGTGGCCGAGGAGGCCGCCAAGGGAGGCGGCGGCGGCTTCCACCCGATCGAGCTCCTGACGGGAGTCACGGAGGGGGCCATCACTGGCCTGCACGACGTGCTTGCGAGCATGGGGGTGCCCTCCGCCTACGGCGTCTCCATCATCTGCTTCACGCTCTTCGTCAAGGGCATCACCTTTCCCCTCACGTACCAGCAGCTCTCGAGCACGACCAAGATGCAGACTCTCGGGCCCAAGGTGTGTGTGTTTGTCGGCGTTGCGATGACGGGTAGGGGACAGGGGTAGGGTGAGTTCTTTTTGATGTTGTGTGAGCGAGAATGCGAAGAAACTCGGGCTGTAGAGGCGAAGAGCGAGCTTTTTGTGATGTTCGTCGGCGTGATGTTGGTTGTCGGCGACTGTGTGTAGAGATCCCTTGGCATATCCTCATGAGCAAACCTGACTCTTGACAGAAATTCGTGTAGTGTTTGTTCGATCAAACAAAAAGGAGCAAAAGTACCAACTAGCATTAGGACGGATAATATGGAGTCGCGAGTCCAACAAGTAGTATGCGGTGCCCGCTCCGAAGTACCATTCTCAGATGTTACCGATGCCGGAACGCGGTCGTCAAACACCACACCGCACGGAGAAATCAGCCAAGCCTTGGCACGTCAAGCCAACACGAGTCTACCGTCGCTCAATTATTGACTCCGGGTTGAAATGGGGCGCAGCAATAGCCTAGAAAATCCGCCATTGAGGGGAAAAAACGAGAACTTCAGGAGAAAACACGCAAGAAATGCACAAGTCGGGGTTCCGCAAGATATGGCGTCGTTACAGTACCCACCCTCCCATGGATTGGAACGCACGAATGGAACAGGTGAAGGAGCTGCAGGCGCGATACGCGAACAACCCCGAGGCGGCCAACCAGGCGGTGCAGCAGCTGTACCAGACGGAGAACGTCAACCCCCTGGCGGGGTGCTTGCCCGCGCTGGCGCAGATCCCCATCTTCATCTCGCTCTACAGGTGTGTGTGGGAGGCGACGTGTATTTTGTGTCTGGCAGCAGCCTCTAGTTGCAAGTCGCGTAGGACAGGGTATGATGCCCCCCCCGCAAGATTTGCGGGGTTCTCCGGGGGCTGCGTGATGCGTGGTCGTGTCGTGCGCCTCTCTTATCTTGTTCGGTTGTTTTGTCTTGGAGCTCGAAAAGGATATCAATAATCTTGGTAGGTTCGGCCGCCACGACGGATCGAACGCAAGTCGTGGGTGGCCAAGGTCGTGGGTTCGAACCCCGGCGTGACGTTTTGTAGAAAGCAATGTCGTGGGTTAACTGCAAAATCGTATTTTTCGTTGACGAGGGAAGGAGGACTGCTGACCCCTTTTCGTGATAACATGGAAGGCAGGCTCCGGTGGTGGCCCCGTGTCTAACCTCCTCACGAGAGACGACGCCAAGAGCGTGTGTGCTGTGTGCAGATATTTTGGGCGACGATGGTAGAGTGGATGATTACTGTTGACGAGGGTACAGCAACCGTCCCGTTGGGTATTCGTGTTCGCCCCGCCGCTTTGTCCACATAGACCCCTAGACTCTGTTGCTGTATATTTTTTATTCATACAAGAAGCTAATGAAATTGATGGCGGACGCATGCCTCCTTCCTTGGCACGATTTCGCGCGAAGGTCCTTGTTGAACCTGGCGAAGGAGAACAAGCTGACGGAAAGCTTCTTGTGGATACCGAGCCTGGAAGGCCCCACCTTCGACTCCCCGCCCACCGAGATGATGAGCTGGATCAAGGATTGGTCAGGTACTGTAGCGAAGCGATGCACCTGGTGCACTTGGCAATCAATCAACCACGCGTCCGTTGAGAAGACCCGTCTGTTCCCAACCAGCCCAGCGATAAGTGTTATTTGTAGCTCTGGTTATCCTTCGGTTTTGTTGCTGGCGGATTTGGCATAGAGGCCAGCTCTTATTGTAGCGGCAGGTGTCTCGTGTACACAACCTGACACTGGGTTAGTCCAGTTTCTCCTCTGCGCCCCCCCCCCCTCCAATGTGATTGCGACTTCGAATGCGAAGACCGTGTTCATGTAGTCGCGGAATGTCCGTAGTACAAGAAGGAGAGGGAAGTGTACGTGACTGAGCTGGGAAAAATAGATGGAACGTACAGGGAGATGTTTGAGGCATGGAACATGGAATGGAGAGGAAAGGACGGTAGCTGTAGTGGGGCATAGGAGGTGGGTTGAAAAGGCGGGAAGGGATATCGTTAGGATAGACAGACTAGGGAAGACATTTTTGAGCCACCTTTGGCAAAGTAGAAAGGAACGATTGGCCATCGGTGA